AATGAAAACAGAAATGCCATCATCTGGCATCATATTGATATACTCACGTAGATCATCAGCAGGACTGGAACTTTTAGATCCACTGCACAGACCTCTGCCATTTGAGCTGACAGAGTAACTAATAGAAGTAGTACTTTGTTATCCTTTATGTGGACCAGCACTAAAGGGGGATGGGACACTTTGCCAGTGGGTTTCACAGATATTCGCTGACAGCAGAGGAATGTAAGACTCAGGAATCATGGGTTCCATTCCAGGCTCTGGATGGAGTGTGTCTAGTGGGCACAGACTCTTCTGCCCATTCCCTGCAAGCTTAATCCCTTATCCCCAGTCCTGTCTCTTCTTCACCCCTCACCGCCCTTTTTCAGTCCTGTTCTCCTTACCTAGCTGGAGTCAGTCTCCATTCCTCAGCCTTTTCATCCCAGTCCTAGACTCTTTGTCCACCCATTTCTAGACTCACTCCTACGAACTTCCTGTCCTAATCTTTCTCCTACCATTCCCAATCTTCACCACCCCCTGTGCTCTCAGTCCCAGTGTGCTTGCCCAGCCCTGGCCTGGAGCAACCAGGAACAGGAATTATAAGGAAAGTCTTGCAAACCCCCAGCTGGATACATTTCCATCCATAGAGAACTGCATCACAATTCTCCTCCAACACAGCATTAATGGGCCTGATATTATTAACTTCCATTTTATTTTGTCCATTATCTCCAAGGCACTTTGGGATCCTCACAAACTTTTCAAGCACGGGAAGAACTGCACTCACCACTGAAATGGAGCCATCTCTGGGAAGGGACATGGCAGCAGTTTAACAGCACACAGCAACATTACACAGCAGTTAAAAGGAGGAATAATCAGTGTTCAAGTCAAACTTCCAGGGGAATTCATGTACACTCAATATAGTTCCTCAAGATGGAGTCTAACTAGGATAGATCAGAGGCTAACACCCTTGCTTTTGTACAAACTGTCATGGAATCTTTAATGACCAGAGACATTGGGAAAACCAATCTTTTCCATATGTAGTCTGCAAAACCAATACAAGTGAGATTCACTGAATGGAAACATAGGGCTCCTAGGCCTCCATCCATCCTCACCCCCCTTTTTTAATTCCTTTTAATTAAAAAACAAAAACAAAAAAGCACCAAACTCAAAACAGAGATTTGAGGCATCTGGATGTGCATCTGTTAAACAAAAATAGTCTAGTGCACTTCCTAACATATAGTATTGCATTATACATGAGGGTGCTGCAGGCTAAACCACAGGAAACAACTGACAGCCAGGATGGGTTTAAGATTCCACAGTGTTACAAAGCAAAACATTTACTTAGATTTGACTGTACAAGAGCATTTGCCAATGTGCAGCATATTATCTATGGCAGAGTTGGCCCACATATTAGCAAAGGTTTGACTGCACAACGATTCCAGACTGAAGACTCAGAACAGTACCAGTCCTAAGGCTGCTCCTGTCTCTTGCTGACACATTGTACTGCCTAATGTTGCTAAGACTATGTCTTCACTGTGTACCTTACAGCAGCACAGCTGTGCTGTTACAGCCATGCCGCTGTAAGGTACGCAGTGTAGCCACTCTTTATCAGCAGGACAGAGCTCTCCTGCTGACAAAAAAACAACAACCCACCCCCAATGAGGGGCGGTAGTTTTGTCGGTAGGAGAGCGACTCCTGCTAACAAAGGGCTGTCCACGCCAGCGCTTTTCATTGGTAAAACTTTTGTCAGTCGGGGTGTGTGTTTTTTTCACACCCCTGAGAGCGCAGAGTAGACATAGCCATCGTCTTTGCTGGCCCATTTAATGTGTTGTTTTTTCAAACTTCCATTTAATAGTGAAACACTCCATTTCTCCTTTGTCAGAGACTCATCTCTTAGCCTAAGGAGGTACAGAAGTAAAATGATTTGATCAAGATCACACATCGAGTCAGTGGCAGAGCTGACACCAGAACCCAGGAGTTCTAACTTCAAGTCCACTGTTTTAACCACTACACTAAATTACTTTGACCATTTGGATATAGAGCAATCAGTAAAGGCCTTAAAAAAATCCCCATCTCTCATGTAAGGTATTCCCTAAGTAACTGAGGTCTTCCAAGGATAACAGAATTATCTGAAAAATAAAATCTGCAGAAAAAAGAAATGGAAAAAAGCTAACGTTTACATTAGCCTAAAAGAAACATTCCCCCACCCCCGCATTTATCATTGTTAAAATATTTAAGAGGATAAATTTTTGGGACTGTCTGTTCAGATTGCCCCATGCCTATCCTGTCATGACAATACAGCTGGTGACTGGCATGCTAAAAAGCCGCTGCTGTATAATTGATGAAATTATGCATGTTGGTTCTGGTCTGTATATATTTATTTCAAAGCAAAGGAACCTGTTTGACAGAAACATTATAAATAATTACAATTATAAAACTGTCAAGGTTTAAATTCAAGGTCTCAGAGAAAACTTCTTCCCATGCTAGTTTTGTCCTTTTGTATTTGGTAAAATAGATTTTTTTTCTACTCTATGAGCTTTTGTTTTGTTTTGTTTTTTAATGGGGAACAAGCAGCATGGCTCTGGCTTCTTAACTTGTCATCCATGATGTCAGCCCATTACTGGGAATGGTGTTTGGCAGTTAACTTGTACTCAGTTTTCTAGCTGGCTCTACAACACCGAGAGGGTAATGTGTAATTAACAGCCACTATTTAATTTTCCAAATATACTGATTTAAAAACCAGAAAAACATTCCCCATCAGATTTCACAATTTTAAGTTAGGTCAAATTTTGAGAATAAGGCATTTCAGAGGGCCCCTTTGAAGATATTTTGCAGTCACACAACGTGAGGTTTTTCTGTTGGGAGAATGTCCGACGCCTGCCCTAGTGGCTTTTAGGGAGTTGTTTGACAGTTGTCTCAGAGCAGCAACCAAAATGGGCTGAGAAGATAGGCTTCCATGGATGGAAATGGATCCAAGTTAAGAAACAGTAGGGGTTCTTGTTGGACTACCAAAACAGAGGTGTTAAACTGCAATTTGGAAAGCACTTGGTCTCACAAAAGTTTTCTGATTGATAAACCAAATGTAGGGGTGGAAAGGAGTCACAAACAAACTCATTTAAGTCATATTTGCATCAAAATAATTTTGAATTCATGATACTATTATGTGAATTTTTGTTCTAATGTGCATAATCCTATTAATAATATCCATAAACACTTATAACAACTGAAGTTTCAGGGCCAGATTCTTCCGTCTTGCACTTTACACAGTTGTTTAAGCAGTGCAAAGTATATGCAAAATGTGTTTAAAATGCCACTAAGTATGATAACATTTTTTAAACCCGCTTTGCACTGGTATAGATGACCTCAAGAGGTACAAGGCAGTGGAGAATCAGATCCTCAAATCCTTCTAAACCAGGGGTTCTCAAACTTCATTGCACCGCGACCCCCTTCTGACAACAAAAATTACTACACAATCATGGGAGGGGGACCGAAGCCTGAGCCCTGCTGCCCTGCGGAGGAGCCCAAAGGCAAAGCCCAAGCCCCGCCCCCTGGGCAGGGGAGCCAAAGCCAAAGGGCTTCAGCCCCAAGCAGGGGGCCTGTAACCTGAGTCTTGCCACCCAGAGCTGAAGCTCTCAGGCTTCAGCTTTGGCCCCGGGCAGTGGGGCTCGGGCTTCAGCATCCGCCCCGAGCCCCAGCAAGTCTAATGCCAGCCCTGGCCGCCCCATTAAAAAGGGCTCGCGACCCACTTTGGGGTCCTGATCCACAGTTTGAAAACCACTGTTCTAAATGTATCAGGGGGTAGCCGTGTTAGTCTGTATCTACAAAAACAACAAGGAGTCTGGTGGCACCTTAAAGACTAACAGATTTATTTGGGCATAAGCTTTCATGAGTAAAAACCTCACTTCTTCGGATGCATTCGAAGAAGTGAGGTTTTTACTCACGAAAGCTTATGCCCAAATAAATCTGTTAGTCTTTAAGGTGCCACGAGACTCCTTGTTGTTCTAAATGTAAGGTATCATGATTTGGTAGCACGAGGCTGGGGCTAGGAGCAAGGAAATCCTGAATTTTAATCCCAGCTCGGTCACTGACCTGCTGCGTGACTTTGGCCAAGTCATTTACTGTAACCTTTCAGGCTCAGTTTCCCAGTGGGTAAAATGAGAACAAAATTTTGAATTTTACATGGCCTAATGGCCATGGCCATCATTGCTTAATCTTTCGCCCAGTATTGTTTAAATGCGGTGGTGGATAAGCTTGTGTAGTTTAAAGTGCTACAAACAAAACAAAACATCACACCAGTACTGAAACTCGATTCTCTAGGAAAAGAATAACAGCTTTTATCCATATGCTTCTTCAGTGTAGAAATCCACTGTCACAAAATAATCTATACTGAAAGGCACAGTAACAATTAGATGTAAATTCCTGCCTGTGACATTATCCATTCTATGGCAACATGCCAAATACACTGAATACACATGGAGTTGTTGCTAAATCAGTAAATAATCAAAGAGACTTTATGGCATTTTATTATTTTTAATACTTGTATATAGCACCACAAGTCTGAATGGTGCTATACCGGAAGAATAGAGACATAAGCCTAATTCTGAATTTAGTGCATAAATTTTATATAAACGTAGCTCCATTTACTTTAACTGAACTACTCCTGTTTTGTTCTGATGTGAGATCAGAATCAGGTCCAGGGTCCTACTCCCTGCCTTGAGTTTATTACAATCTTGGCATAACATTACACAATACAGGCAAAGACAGCATCGCGCTAGATAAAGGAGGTTTACACAAAATGAGATTATGTAGATGTTTGTCTGCCATGATATGCATTGAGATATTTTAAAATTTAATTTAGGTTTTATTAGAGTGGCATGAGGTTGTGGTCACTGTTTCATCTGTACTACAGGCTAGTGTGACAGAAATTAAAATGGTTTGCAGAAACCATGAAGAAAGCTTTTGCAGAGACCGAGACGAAGATGTAAAAGCACTAACCTAATGGATGAACGCTTAAGGTAAATTACCTCCATTGGAGTATGCCATTTTTAGGGCTTCCAGAGAAATAGCAGGTGTTATTTCTAGCTGGCAAATGATCACTTTGGCCTTGCAAATGGCATTAGCAGCCCTCTTCAGGTCTTCAGAATCCAAAAGCAAATTGGCTCCTGCGACTATGACGATAACATTCTGTCCTAGAGAGAAGATTCCATGTTTTAAATTATATACTTCACTTCACTACAATAAAATAAGGTAAATAAAACAACTCTTTGCCATTTTCCAGTGCCTTTCACATGAGGATTTCAAAGCGCTTTTCAAAAAAGCTGCATGCTGGTGCACTTAATGATCCAAAGATTTCAGTGACAGCCCACCAAGACCTGTGCATAAAAGATGTTATATTGTACTCCAAACACAATGGAGTATAGGCCTTTTTTGAGGATTTAACATGCAGAGATTTTTTCCAAGTTTGATTTTTATGTTCTGTTTGGACTAAAAAGAACCACTACACTGTACCAAATTGGAGATACCGGGGTCCTGAGTGTCCCCTAAAAACATTTGTGCCTTCGTGTGACGTTACCTTAGCAGAAGTAATCACATTGATATAGTGAGTCACGATGCCCAAAATGCATTCAGAATTTTAACTGTCCTTTTAGTTTAGGATCACTGGATATTGGATCAAATCTGTGAAAATTATGAGCATCCTGTGAATTTCAAGGAGAGGCAGCCCTGCTCCAATGATCAGGGACACTCCACATTGTCAGTGTTTTGAAGCATTGTGAGAACCTGAAACAGGCCCTACCACCAATGGCATGAGTTTTAAAACAGATAGTTAATATTTGACTCATAAGAACTCTTTACAGAATATCTGGAGGGAGTAAAGATGGGCAGCCAATCCCTTTGAGGGCTGGCAGATGGAATGCTCTTCCAATGGATATGCTATAAAGCACAACTAGGGCAACAGTTCAAATCCTTTCTGGTGTCCTTTTTATTCTGGTTGTTTGTTTAACGTATACAACTGGCTGGGGAGGTTCGTTACCCTAGGCTCTTGCTATAGTGTTTAAAAAAACAAAACAAAACAAAACAAGCATATTGCCTTTATTTGATTGCAGTTCTGTTTTTAGTTATTCTGTTAAGACACTGAGAGACCTTCAGACATGGATGCCTGCTAATTAAACTGTATTATTAATCACTAAGTATTAAATTCAATAAACCAGTTGCTCCTCGATCTACAGCTCCTACTGCCCGCCTCCACTGAAGATTCATTTAGGGGCTGCCAATCACTAAAGGCCACTGATTCTGTAATGGATTGAGTTACTCGGTGAATCAACAGCTAGGTTTTAAAAATGCATTTTTTCCTTGAATGAGACTTCAAAGTCCCTTGTGTAAGCAACATGCAAAGCATATCTCCATGCTGATACTCTGAAGGGAAAGCAGGACAATGGAACTATGATCCCAAGCTTTCCAAAGCAACTCCACTGTCAATGGCTTGGTTTAAAACTGTTGCATTTGAATAGCAAACCCTCAGCATTTTGGCCGACACCCTGTTTTTCAACAGATAAGGATGGACATCTTGGTTGCAGGAAACCTCTCCAACAAATATATACCAATCAAAAGTATCTGGATTTTGCTATAGGAATATTCAAAGGTAAACAGCATCCATTTTGCCCAACATACCTTCTGAAAGTTTACAAGGTGAGAAGCTAAAAATGGTGAATTGTAGGGGTCAGATGGAATAAAATTGTGGTGGCCCTCCACCTGAACTGTGTGCTACTTACAATCCCAAATTCTACCCGCTGGAGTACCTGCATCATCCTGCTGAAATAATGAGCAGCAAAATAGTTAACTTTAGCGTTATTGGCATATTAAGATAATTGTAACTGTTTGTTTCAACCTGTTTTTGCAGATTCAAGGTAGACAGTCCTGTACTGGGTCACAGACCGAAGGGTTTTATTTTGCAACTGTAAAGGGCTAGAGACTTACATTTTGCTTTAGACCAATAGTCCTACTAGAGAAATACAATATTAGTACATTGTACCAGCCAGTACTGGCTCAATCCAACATTTAGAGAAATAATGGATCACATTAGGGTGACCAGATAGCAAGTGTGAAAAATCGGGATGGAGTGGGGGGTAGTGGGGGAAAATAGGTGCCTATATAAGAAAAAGCCCCAAATATCAGGACTGTCCTATAAAATCAGGAAATCTGGTCACCCTAGATCACATTCTGCTTTTAGCTACACTGATTTTGTCTGGAGTAACACCACTGAAGACAATGAAGTTACTTCAAATTTAGACCAGTATAAATGAGAGCAGAATCTGTTTCAAAATATTCAAAGTTAGCATTTCTGAGTCTACTACTATGGCAACCAATTTGCTTAAACAAGGACATTGGTGACACCAAGCGGGTGGGAACCCAGCACCAGAGACAATAAAACAGTATTAAATAGCAATGGACACTAGCAGCCAGGAAAAAATCATTTCTGTGCAATGTTTACCCTGCAATTCCCTTACTTACACTAGTAGATCTTGATTTCAATTAAATGACTAAGGACTACTCATGTGAATAAGGGTTTGCTGATTAGGGTTTTAGGCATTTCATTTAAAATAGCAAGGGCTACATTCTCACCAGTGTAAACTAGCCTAGCTCCACTGAAGAGATGGAGCTAAACACATTTACACCAGATGGGGATTTAGTCCTTATTAAGAAAGTCCTTCTGATACTTAAACCAGTATGAATGCTGAGTACATAGATACTGCTTTCAACCGTGCTTCTAACTCTGCCAGCATGACTTATCAGAAAGATGGTAGCCACTAGCAGTAGGCTGTGGGCTACATGGAGACACTCAGGAAGGTTAATCTAATTATCTATTTTTTGTGATGTTTTTTAAATTGATTTTCAGAAAGAACACAGGCAATGAAAAGTAAAAAAAGGTTAATTAACTTTTTTAATGCATTGTTTAAACCAGTGGCTCTCAACCTTTCTAGACTACTGTATACCCCTTTCAGGAGTCTGATTTGTCTTGCGTTCCCCCAAGTTTTACCTCTATGATATTCTATTCTATGATTTGCTTACAAAATCAGACATAAAAATATAAAAGTGTCACAGCGCACTATTACTGAAACATTGCTTACCTTCTCATTTTTACAGTATAATTATAAAATAAATCAATTGGAATATAAATACTGTGTTTACATTTCAGTATATAGAGCAGTATAAATAAGTCACTGTCTGTATGAAATTTTAGTTTGTACTGACTTGGCTGGTGCTTTTTATGTAAGCCTATTGTAGAACTAGGCAAATATCTAGATGAGTTTATGGACCCCCTGAAAGACCTCTGCATACCCACAGGGTACGCGTACTCCTGGTTGAGAACCACTGGTTTAAACCACATTAAATCCCTGTGTGGATACTCACATATAGAATTAAAGTGGCCTTAATTCACTTTGGAAGTGAATTAAATTAAACTGAATTAAGACCACTTCAGTTCTGAGTAAGAAAATCCAAATTGGGGCTTAATACAGTTTAATCCAATTTAAATGTACACCTTCAGTTAATACAGATTAATTTTTCTGAGTACCCCTATGTAGACAAACCCTGAAAACTGCCAAATGAATTTAAAGTGCTATTTTTAAATACATTCTACAAATGCCTTATGATAGGACTATCCAATGCATGTCTACACTTAAAACGCTGCATCGGGGCAACTGCATCAATGTAGCTGCGCCACTATGGCTCTTTAATAAAGATGCTCTAAACTGACAGTAGAGAGCTTCTCCCATCGGCTTAGCTAATCCACCTCCGCGAGAGGCAATAGCTATTTCGGTGAGAGAGGTTCTCCCACCAACATAGTCTGTCTACACTGCCGCTTAGGTAGGTATAACTACATTGTTCAGGGGTGTGGATTATTCACACCCCCGAGTGACATAGTTATAGCAAAGTAATTTTGTAATGTAGACCAGGGCTCAGAACACACTGCCAAATACAACAGGGGCACAGTTCTTCTTTAGAATACATGTGAAATAGCCCTCAAGCCATCAGTGGTGTTTAAGGGCTTGTCTACACGGCCCCGCAGTGCAGACTATGGGGGCACGAATTGAACTATGCATTAAAGTATTGCCCTGTAACTGCCCTATGTAGACCCTGCTAGTGTGAACTAAAAGGGACTAATGGGACTACTTAGTGTAAACTAGGTTCCTTTTAGTTCACATTAGCAGGGTCTATGCAGGGCAGTTACAGCGCAACACTTTACTGTGTGCTGCAATTCACACTCCCATAGTCTGCACTGCGGCCGACAAACTCTACAACATCTTAGCAGTCTCTCAGCCTATCAGTACAACTGCAGTAAGGGCTGCAGAGCTCCTGCACAGTATTTCATAGGAAAAAACGATAATGTCTGTGACTACGAAAGAATATTATGAGAAATAGTTGCTTGACAAATCACAGAGTTCAGGAGCATAAAGACAAGTTTTGGGTGTGTCCATGGTAATGTAATTTCTCTATAGTCACTTGCTGAACACATTAAAAAGCCCCATTTTCCCAGTATATTAAAATAAGATGCTACATCCAGGTACCAGTTTCTTTTTAGCCCGCAGGACCAAAACACGTGTTTTACTTTATGCAAAGGATATTTCAGTCACATTGACATTCATGTTCTGCACGTTTTTTGCCTTGTTTTGCTAGTCACTTCTAAATGTATATTTTGAAAAGCTTTCTGTGGGTACATGTACATGTAGTGCTTTGATATTGAAGTGTGCCCACGCTTTATAAAAAGTGTGAGAATTCAGTGTTCATGAAATGACTGAATAATAGCAATACCTATAGTCAACGTTAATTTAGGCAGGCACTGTGCTTGCTTTTCCACACACTGTTCTGCCAGTGCACCTCACTTCTAACCTGCAACAGTCCCTGCTATTCCAGTCCTGTGCCCTCACTTTGTTTTGCTAATGCACCTTGATCATTGCCTGCCACAGTCCTTGCTGTTCCTTCTCTGGGCTTTTGCTATGCATGAAGGAATTGCCAGACTGGATCAGACTAGTGGTTCATCTAGTCCGGTATTGTCTCTAGCAATGGCCAGTGCCAGATATATCACAGGAAGAGGAAGGTGCCAAAACTGTGAAGGGGATAATATGGAATAACCTGCCCATAGAGGAAGTTTCTTTCCTATATAGAGATTGCCTTGTAACTGCTTCTTTATTTATGTAAAACAAAACAGAAACAATATGCACAATAATTTTATAGAGTTCCTATAAACCAGTAATACATTGTCAGGAGACAGGGTGCTGTAAGAGTGGTAAAAGTGGTGGGGGAAAGGAGGTGAAAAGGGGATGCAGCAGTAAGTGGAAGTGGAAAGTGAGACTACACATTTGAAGAGGGGAAGTGTTCAGAAAAACTGCTGAGGGCATGTTACAGTTCTTTGCTTTGAGGGGAGGGGTGAATGCCACCGTCTGCAAGGTCTTGGTTGACAAGCCCACTTGGGAAGCTGGAGTTTATGTTTAGTAAGCACCTATCTGGAAGCAGTGAAAATTTCCAGAAAACACAGATTTCTAAGGCTGCCACAAAAACTAAACTTTGTAATGTATCTGAATTGTGGATTTCACAGGACCACATCATGGAAATGTTGGTCATGACTCCATATACTGAGTTCCATTTTGCTCTTAAAGCAGACTCAACCTCTTTGTTTTGTATGAAAAATACTGTGCTTTCTCCCTAAACTTACTGCACTCACTCTGCCTATAGAATTAATTTTCTGATAATTTACAAGTGATTCTGTTAACTAACTTATGAGTTAAAATTAATTATAGCAGAGTCCTTTAAGAAATTTAGCATTTGTGTCTTTTCTTTGTCCTGAATTATCTTAACAGAATAATGCAGACTCTTCAAAGAACTTTAACTCTTCTCTTACAGGAATAAGACAGACTGATATACGCTCTTTTATACTGACATAACTATATCCACATGGGTGGGTCGTACTGCTTAAACTATACCAGCATTGCTATAGCAGTACGACTTGCATGTGCAGACAAGCCCTTAGATGAGTACTGTACAACTTGATAGGTCAAATCTGCCAGGCTTCTTCAAATAAAATAGTCTCTCTTGTAACAGCACAGAACACAAGTACTGCTATTTTATTGTAATCTACTCAATTTTGGCCCCAGACAGTTTTAAGTAGAAGTAACAACCATTACCACTACTAGTTCTGTATATCTGTTTGCTTTACAACACGGTCCTGACCCGCTTTGCTCTAGCAGCAGCTTCTATGTAAAATCTGAGGCCAGTTTTAGATTTGGTAACTTAATTTAGGAACTGTCCATTTTTGACAGAAATAACCTATGTGCCACAATGCATTGTTCAGTTCATCCTCCACATCACAAAACTTCTAATGAACTTTTATACCAATATCAGTTTCTAGGAAAATCCACCATAAACTTCAGAGTAGTGGACAATCATCATGGCTCTGTTTCCTAGTACTTCAAAAGTTTTTAATCCACCAGTTTTTGTCTGTTATCCCTCAGAACAGATCACAAGGTTCTTGAAAACCCAACAAGTCACTCACTACTGTTTCAAGGTTAGATCATGCTTTTTCTTACTCTGCCCAGAAGAGGACTAAAAGGGAAAGAAAGACTCCATCCCTTACTCAGCCAACCTGAACCTTGGGTCCAGTGTAGAGCATAGACAATATTTCTTGGATATTCCTCCCATGGGATGTGGGCAGGGAGGAGAATGAGAGGGGCTTGGAGTGGGCGACGCCATGGCTCTGTCCTCTGCCCCCAGTCACTGACCAAAGTAGCTGGCCAGGTATGTGAGGGATGTAAGCTGCACTCTCTCGAGAGCTTCAGTAATTTCCTTCTCAAACTTACTCCTCCAGAATGGGAGAGGGGGAGGGTCATGGAGAAACATCAGGGAAGGAATTGTGACTCTGGTATTTCTAGCTTAATTCACTGAACTAAAAGGAACTAAGGCCACTACTTCTGAATGTGAGTATCCAAAGTGGGGTTAATGTGCTTTAACTAATGCACTTAATATTTGCACCTACTATTACTCAAATTAACCTTTCCAACTTGCCTTAGTCACAATTCCCTTTCCAGGCCTGCTCCTGGGATGGAGTTGTCACATCCTGACCCTTATTCCAGGCTGAGTCAAGGTTCAATCTAGACCTTAGTAATTTTTTTCAAAGAGTTCACAGGCGAGCGAGTATGAGGCATAATTTGTTTGAAAAGGAAAAAAAATCAGCAGAAGTTAAATTAGTCACTATGAAAGACAATATGAAAAATGGTCAATTCCCTCTTTTCTACCCTGTCCGAAAATATGAAAGCAAAGGTACATGCTAAATTAAAGGACAATTAATATGTAGATCAAATGCCACTTTTGGAGCATACGCACTACAGAAGGAACTCTGAGTCAAATATTATGGCAACATTTTAAAGACAACTGGATAATCTGAGAACCAAATATCTGTAGCTATGCAGACTAAGATAATAAGGATAATCATATTTCATAATTCCTGGCATAAATTCATCATGTGCTGGGGTCAGGAAGGAATACCCTTTTCCCATTGTAAATCTGGGAAAAATAAACATTACGGGGGAAAGCTTTTTATATTTAACACCCCTCCCCCCCCACTTCCTCTGGTGCACCATGTACTGGCCAGTGTCAGATTAGATGAATCAGTGGGCTAGTCTATTTATAGCTATTCGTATGTAGATACGATAAGGGTCAGATTCTCCCACCCTTACTCACATTTAGTGGCATTGTGCTCCACTAGTAGTCTGTAGGATGAGTAAGTGTGGAAATGTCAGGATGACAGAATTTGTCTGTAAATGAGGGAAAACTCCCACAACTAACGAAGACCAGAGAAAAGTTTCTTTTGCAGCTTACAAAGGCAGAACCTTTGCTTACTAGGGGACCACTCAGAATGTGAAATATGTACCTTCTCTGTTAACAATTATTGAAGCAGCTCCAGTAGCAGCATCCTCAGTCTGACCTACAAATTCTAAGAAAGGGAAAAGTTACCGTTTGTATTATTTCAACAACAGTCTGTGATGCAGTTTAACCTCCCATAATCTCCAACACTTAAAAATGCTAATAACTATTTCATGTATAACAATGCCAAAGAAGCTTAACAAACAACAACAACAAAAGAAGTGTTAACTTACACCAACAAAAAACCAAATATGAGTCCATCGTTCTTTAATGTAGCTATGTCTCTGCTTCAATGATAGCATACTTTTATCCAGTGAAACAACAGATTCTAGGCTGGAGAAAATTAAAGCATTGAAATAATGCAGCATATTTCCCCCTCTTAATTCTCCGATTTACATTTCTGAAGGAACGGCAGCCTATATTAATGAAGATGGAGGCTGTGGTGAGGCTGTACATTTCCCCTTTGGATTAATCCATTCCATTAAATTATTATAGGCTAAGCTGGTAGTATGGCCTGTTATTATGGTTGCCCAACACTTTCTGCTATAAAACCCAGTTTTCAGTTACATATAACTTTGCCAGACATTAACCATTTGGAATGAAATTTTCCATGCCAGGTGATTGCCGCTGGCGGATTATTATTATTTTTGAAAATTTCAGTCAAAATGACGGTTGTTAGCAACTCAGGGCTACATTTGAGGGACGATCCTGCTCAGCTCCTTACAGCCCTGGGCTAGAGTAGACAATGCTCAATACAGATGGAACCTTTGGGGACAAGAGCTGCAATGCTTTAGCAAGTTTCTACTGAGCATATGTGTACTGCAATTTTTCAAAGGCTTATTCCTTGGCCAAATTGGGTTGGATTTTCACAAGGGATGGCAAAAGACCAAACCAAACCAAATGAAACCATCATGATTTTTTAACATAGGCAAAGCAATGTATTTTGCCCTAGCATCATTCTCAGAAACAACTGGACCATTCTGGGCTGAAATTTTCCAGAAAAATGTAGCCTGAGGCTGATACCCGGCATGGAAAATTTCAACTTGAACAGTTAAAGTACGACAAAGTTATAAGTAACTGAAAATTGGGTCTTATAATGGGAAGTGTCAAGCAACTGAGATAGAGAAGGAAACTAGGATTTAGAGACTTCCTGAAAAAAAGTACATTTAAAAATGTGGCTGCACTCTGAGATATGTAAAAATAGCATTGCAGGGTTGGACTGTTATTACTTCATTATAATATATGGATCAAATGTACTCAGTTTACAAGCAAAAAGATATTTTTCTTAACTGCCAGCCCTGCAAAGTTAGCCTGGGATGTGAGAATCAAGCTGGATTGTTCACTTCTCACACATCATCATCAGTAACTGAACTGCTAAAGGCTGGTAAAGACAACTGTGCAACCTCCCTGTCTGTCCAATTATGCCTTCAGTGACACTTTGCATCCCCACTGATTTCAATTGGGATTTACTCAGTAGTTCTGTTGGGGCCTGACCCAACATCCACTGAAATCAATGGAAAGACGCCCATCGATTTTAAGATGCTTTTCATCAGGCCATTGGTGATACACAAGAAGAAATCAGCAAAGCAATGCAAGTCTCTCACTCTCTCTTAGCCATGTTGGCTTTGCAAGGCTAACAGGAGTCAAAGGCAACAACAATTTACTTTCATCACTGAAGTGAATAGATATGACTCGGGACACACACATATGCCAAGTAAGAAGGTTCCATTTATATAAATTCACATTACAGAGTAGAACCAAACCACGCTTTAAGGAGGAACTAGTGTCTTTGTAGTGACTTTTACGAGAGTAGAACTTTCTCCGTCTTTGAAGTCTGCCATCCCCTGACAATGATTTAGATCCTGCTATTTACTGCTGTAAATCAACATTGAACATTTAGGCTAAAAATTAAGGGCAAAATTTTCAAAAGTGGACACTAATTTTGGATGCTTCAATACTTGGGTGCTCAACCTGAACCTCATTTTTCAGTCATGCTAAGCATGTGCAACTCCTATAGACTTCAAATGGAGTTGCAGGTTCCCAGAACCTCTGAATGTAAGTCTCTAGGTGCCTCAAATTGGGCATCCAGAATTAATGGCCACCTTTGAAAATGTTGGCCTAAAGATTTAACGTAGGCCAATTCAAACCAGACCGGACAAAGTAATGGTGAATACACTGCAGAAACCATTCTGCACCAGAATGGGTGTGTGAATTAGACAACCTAACCAATCTACCCTTTCACCTCCTCCATCTCTAGTTTCAAATTTTATCTAAAAAATTAACAAATTATTTTTAAACTGAAATTTTACCTGTAGAAATCCCATTTCTCTTGAAATTTTCAATATAATCATTGCCAAACGAGTCCTTCCCAACCTGCAAAGAAGTTACGAACATTAAATCTTTTACAGTCTGCAAAATGGTGTAATGCAACCATCATACACTAGACTTTATTTTAGAGCTCTTTTATCTCAATTACTTGATTAAATAGCATTTTACAGCTCTCTCCCACCTCTAAAATAAAAAGCACATCAGATACAAACAAAATTATGCACCTTTCATACTCACCTTGTATCACTGGCATTATAATTCATTCATCCTTCTAACACTAAGTTGAGTATTCAGTGGCAAAAACCTACATTGAGAAGGAGTTATGGTTGCTTGGTGGCACGTCATACCCTGGCAGACTGCTGAGTTGAGCAAAACTCAAACTTCTGAAAACCAGGAAATGCACAGTTAAGGTTGCTCATGCAACCTTAGCTCTACCCTCTTTCAGCAATGCCCCAATATGCCCGATTAACATACAAACATTTATTCTGCTATGCCCACCCTTGCTGAAATGTACAAATACTTCACTCCTTTTTAAACTCATTCAGTCTTACCCACATGATTCCATCTAACATGCCACAGAAATAACAAAGACAGTCCTTGCCCCAAAGAACTCACAGCATAAGTTAATTGGTGGATGTGTGCAGAGTTTATGTATGTGTTGGGGTGCATTGGCAGAGTAGTTGGGTGGAGGGGGTTGAAATGCATTGGCACAACTTTGGGCTGCAAGAAGGTCGGGATCCACTGGCAGAGCTAGGGTTTCAGGGGGATTAGGGTGCATTGGCTGTGCTGGGGGTATAGGAAGGTTAGGGTTGCATTGACAAAGTTGGGGGTGCAAACAGTTTGGGATGTACCGGCCAAGGGATGGGGTGTAGGAAGACAGCTATAAAAATAATATATAACAAATGGAAGAAAGGGGAAGTTGATAGTATAAATATAAATATAAATCATAAGCTTTAAATCAGAAGGAACTGTAGAAAACTGGTAAGGGAAGCAAAGGGATACAAGGAGAAATTTATGGTCAGCAGTGTTAAGGACAACAAGGAATATTTTAAGTATATTAGGAACAAAAGGAATCCTAACAATGGTATCAATCCATTACTAGATGCAAATGGTAATTATCACTAATAATGCAGAAAAGGTGGAAGTGTTCAATAAATATTTCTGTTCTGTATTTAGGAAAAATAAAAATGGTGTAGTAATATATGATAATACACTTTCCATTCCAGTAGTATCTCAGGAGGATGTCAAATAGCAGATACTAAAGTTCAACATCTTAAAATCAGAAGATCCGGATAACTTGCATCCAAGAGTTTTAAAAGAGCTGGGTGAGGAGCTCATTGGATCATAATGTTGTTTTGTTTAAGTCTTGGAACAACAGGGAGGTTCCAGAAGACTGGAAGAAAACTAAAGTTGTGCCAATATTTAAAAAGGGTGAACGGGATGACCAGGGTAACTATAGGCCTGTCAGTCTGACATTGATTTCGTTGGGGTTGGTCCTGCTTTGAGCAGGGGGTTGGACTAGATGACATCCTGAGGTCTCTTCAAACCCTAATCTTCTATGATTCTATGATCTCAAGGCAAGATAATGAAGAAGATGATATAGGACTCAACATAAAGAATTAAAGGAGGCTAATATAATTAATGGCAATCAACACGAGTTTATGGAAAATAGATCTTGTCTGTCACAGAGCGTCCCTTCACTTAGCCAGTGAATACCGCAGCCTAGACTGTTCCTGCAGTGTCCTAGCCACAAACACACACAGACTGATTCTCTTTCATCATGTCTGCATTTAATCTTCAGTGTCAAAGCAAAACAGAATGTACCACAAGTTTACAGCAGGAGGAGTTTTCCACAAAGTTATCTTTTCTCTCCAAGGCGCATCCACTGTTCCTTCCAAACATATCCTCCCAGTTACTGAACCAATTGCCTCATTAGCCCAGCAACTGCCACCCAAGCATCAGTAATCCACAACAGAAACTAGTTAATTGACTTCAATTAAGCCCATAATCTTTCCCATGCTGCAGCAACCCCAGTGACAAGGGCGCCAAAGTTAGTGCCCTGTCACGCTGTAAAACTAACTCAATATCTTTTTTTTTTTTTTAATGAGATTGCAGGTTTGGTTGAGAAAATTAATAGTGTTGATGTAATATACTTAGACTTCTGTAAGACATTTGACTTGGTACCACATGGCATTTTGATTAAAAAACTAGAAAGGTAAAATTAACATTTTACACATTAAGTGGATTAAAAGTTTGTTAATGTAATTATAAATAATAATAAAATGTAATTGTAAATGGGGAATTGTCATCAAGAGGGTGTGTTTCTAGTGGGGTCCCGCAGGGATTGGTTCTTCACCCTACACTATTTAACATTTTTATCTATGACCTGGAAGAAATCATAAAATCACCACTGATAAAGTTTGCAGATAATATAAAAATTGGGGAGTGAAGAGTAAATAATGAAGACGATAGGTTGCTGATACAGAGTTATCTGGATTGTTTGGTAAATTTGGTTCAACTTCAAGCAAACAATATGTGTTTCAATGTGTCTAAATGAAAATGTATACATCCAGGGAAAAAGAATGCAGACCATACTTACATTATGGGGTCTCTATCCTGGGAAGCAGTGGCTCTGAAAAAGATTTGGGAGTTGTGGTGCATAATAAGCTAAACATGATTTCTCAGTGTGATGCTATGGCCAAAAGGGCTAATTCAATCCTTGGATGCATAAACAGTGGACTCTTGAAAAGGCAACGAAAGGTTATTTTACCTCTATATTTGGCACTGTTGTGACCACTGCTGGAATACTGTGTCCAGTGATGGGGTCCACAGTTCAAGAAGGGTATTGATAAATTGGAGATGGTTCAGAAAAGAGTCACAAGATTGATTAAAGGATTAAAAAACATAATTTATAGTGATAGACTCAAAGAGCTCAATCTATTTAGCTGAACAAAGAGAAGGTTAAGGGGTGATGAGATTACAGTCTGTAAGTACCAACATGGGGAACAAATATTTAATAATGGTCTCGTCAATCTAGCAGAGAAAGTGCTATAACATGATCCAATGGCTAGAAGTTGAAGATAGCAAATTCAGACTGGAAATGAGGTGTACATTTTTAATGGTGAGAGTAATTAACCACTGGAACAACTAACCAAGGGGCATGGTTGATTCCCCATCACTGAGGTTTTTTTTAACCAAGATTGGACATTTTTCTGAAAGACATGCTCTATGAATTATTTTGGGGAAGTTCTGTGGCATGTGTTATACAGGAGGTCAGGCTATATGATCACGATGGTCCCTTCTGGCCTTGGAATCTATTAGTCTATGAAGGAAAGTTGGGGTACAAGGTGGTTGGGTGCTGGCAGAGCTGGTGGATGCTCCTCACCTGAGCCCTGAAACACTCTCCCCTACCCTCCCACCCATGGTGTCAAGGCTGATTCCCCACTTTGAACCTTAGGGTACAAATGTAGGGGCCTGCATAAAAACTTCTAAGCTTATCTACCAGCTTAGCTTTGGTCCGCTGCCACCATCACAAGAATTCCCTCCCTGGGAAGCCTTGAGAAACCTTTCACCAATTCCCTGGTGAACACAGATCCAAACCCCCTTGGATCTTAAAACAAGGAGAAGTTAACCATCCCCCCTCCTTCCTTCCACCCTCCTTTCACCAACTCCTGGTGAATACAGATCCAAACCCCCTTGGATCTTAAAACAAGGAGAAATTAACCATCCCCCCTCCTTCCTTCCACCCTCCTTTCACCAACTCCTGGTGAATACAGATCCAAACCCCCTTGGATCTTAAAACAAGGAGAAATCAATCTGGTTCTTAAAAAAGAAGGCTTTTAATTAAAGAAAAAGGTAAAAATCATCTCTGTAAAATCAGTATGGAGAATACTTTACAGGGTAATCAAACTTAAAGAGCTCAGAGGACCCCCCTCTGTCTTAGGTTCAAAGTACAGCAAACAAAGATACACACTCTGGTAAAAAGGTACATTTACAAGTTGAGAAAACAAAGTAAATCTAAGACGCCTTGCTGTCTTTTTACTTACTAGTTTGAAATAGGAGAGACTTGTTTAGAAAGATGGGGAGAACCTGGATTGATGTCTGGTCCCTCTCAGTCCCAAGAGCGAACCCCCCTTAAAACAAAGAGCACACACAAAAGCCTTTCCCCCCCCCCAAGATTTGAAAGTATCTTGTCTCCTTATTGGTCCTTGGGGTCAGGTGTCAGCCAGGTTACCCGAGCTTCTTAACCCTTTACAGGTAAAAGGATTTGGAGTCTCTGTACACAGAGAGCTGTTACCCTTCCCTTTATAGTTATGACACATGGCCATTATCCCCCTTCCTGTCATTGCAGTCCCAAACCTCTCTCCCCGCTATTCCCTCATTCTTCTGCTTCCAAAACTCTCCCCTTCCCCAGGAAGCATTCATGTGTCTTTTTCTTCACCAAATACTTTAATTACATTCCCCACAAACAACGTTGCCACCCATGATTCTCAAATTGCAGCAACCCCCAGCCACTCACTCCAAAACTCCTTTGGGCTTCGGAAGAGGTGTCACGGAGCCACACGATCTGTGTTATGCCCCGGCTTTTAAACAGTCCTTTGGAGGAGCCCCTTCAGTGTGCCAGACCCCCAAGGGGTCCCAGTCTTCTTTAGGGTCAGACCAAGATCTTCATGACTGAGGCCAGGTCTACACTAAAGTTAAGTCGACCCAGCTACACCCCTGAGTGATGTAGTTAGCCGACCTAACCCCTGACATAGACAGCATTAGGTCAATGGAAGTTAAGATTATCCAGGAAAGTGGATTAACTACAGTGACAGGAGAATGTCAGAGCTCAGGAGAATGAGCTCTGCCCAATGAATTGAACTGAGATAAAGTCCTGTTTAGAGACTTTTTACTCTCTTCAGAGATCAATGCACCTCAGCAAGTATTTGTAATGACACCAGGCAGCCTTTTCAAAACAGAGAGTGGTTTTATTAGTCAACTAGAAAACACCACTGGAAAGTCCTTAGAAGCAAAGGTGAAGACAGAGTTCAGACTGGCCAACC